AATACATATGTATAAAAATAATTTTTTAAAAAGAGAGTTCAGCTAGAACCATCAATTTCCTGTTCTGTAATATAAAAGCCCTAAATCAGATGACTACATTCATTTAGTACTCAATTTCTTTGAGTGTATCTTACGATAATTAAGGCTTTCCCTAAATCTAATATTTTAAGATTCTAAAAAAAATGAAAATATACTACTATTGACATGTTTTGATTTTTATTTCTTAGGGTTCAAATGTCCTCCTTTCACCTTGTTCTAAGATAAGGAACCATTTAAGGGGATACAAGATAGAAGGCAGGGGAAAACAGAATCCCCATGCAAGCTGTAAACAGCATTGATTCATAATCTAGCCACTGTCAAATACTAAATACAGTTTGAAATAACCCTCTCCATATCTTTAAAGTGACAGCTTTGTACCTGTAATGCTTCTTGTTTTAAACTGGTTTTCTCAGGCACTTCATGAACACTTTCTGAAGAATCATCAACCTCCTCAATTTCTGAGGATGAAGCACTCTCAACTGTCACAGTCACAGGAAAACCTGGTTGCTTAAAGAGGACAAGATTGTGTAAGTAATAATATAAACAAAATACCAAATATTAAAGAAATCTAATCAAAGTGATCTTTCTGAAGTATTAAGTCATTGTCTATCAATGTCTTTCACTACTCCTTAGCCTAAAACAATCAATAACAAAGTAAAAAGACACTTATTCTTGCTATGTTAATATATAGAATTTTGTCATACATGGATTAATATTTGTAATTGCTCATGTTATTTTATTAAATTTCTTTCACATAAACCAAGTGAGGAGTGAGGGTAAACATTTTTTCTCAGATCAACTTTACACTGCAGATGAGAAATGTATTCTCTACCATCAGACACAAATAATCTAGAAGAAAGTATAATTTTTAGGAGGAAAATAATAATTAGAAGAATAATTAAAAAGTCAATATAGCTAAACTGTGAACAATAAAAACTAGAATTTTTTAAAATAAATCGTATACATATACGCACATACAATTAAAACTCACACATCAAAAACCTCATCTTTTCCTCATCCTTTAAGCCAAAACTAGTGTAATAACAATACAATTCTCCTGTCAAGTTTCACTGCCAATGGAATGTTGTTGAATATGATGTTTCCAAACATTTAAAAATTGATCTGGTCACAATCCCATAAAAAGTCTACTGATCAAAAAGAAGAGTGCCAGAATTACATAATTGTACAGAAGACAGTCACTAGGGTATAATTTCTACCATAAGCAGCAAGGCATGCAAGGGGCAGTATGGATGGACACACAGAGTGCCCCTCTCTGATGTCAGCAGTGTGATCCTTCACAGAGAAATCACAGAGTCTCCCAGGACAACTGGGAAAGAGAACCTGATACTCTGACAGAATTAGCTTGCTCCAACACCGTGAGGCAATATGACAGGAAATGTGTGTGATCCTGGTGAGGGAGGAAGAAAAACTCTGAAAAAGCAGAGGTTTTGGGATTGGTTGCTTTGGTTTGGCTTTAGGATCTAAAAATATATATATATTTGTATGTATACATATGTGTGTGTGTATGTGTGTGTGTGTGTGTGTGTGTGTGTATGTGTATATATATCTCCCCCAAAAATCATTTCTTGAAAACTTTTAAGGACATTCTTGACTGTGCTATCTCCATGTGTCAGGTTAGAAATAGTACTCAAATTTGTTTCACTGGGCAACAGCTGATTCGTGGAAGAAATGGCTTCTCTGTCTACAGATGAAACCACAAGGCCCCCATTGTGTGACATACCCACAAAACTGTACCATAGTAATGGGAGAGCAACCTGGAAATTTTTAAATGGATTCACTTCAGGGAGGAAAATGTTTTCCATAAGGCTCTGTTCAGTTTTAAAAGCACTCAGAATGATCTTCACCTCTTTCCCACTCCAACCCCCTACATATACATATGATAACTACATACCTGCAACTGATTATGTATATCACGAGTTTTGATTAATGGAAAGCCCCTAAAGAGATATCAATAAATTAAGTTATATTTTGATGTAAACACAACACCAATTAACATCAGGTAATAACACTTATTAGTATACTATCCATACAGAACTGTGTATGGAAATAAGTAACATCAAAATAACAATCTGGAAGGCTCTGCTATGGAGAAAATTGAACAGAATTTAGCAGAATGTCTTTGTGCTAACTCTCTGATCTTCCAAGGGACACATTCAGTTCCTTCGTTCAGGATAGTTGTGATTTCCAGTCTAAGTTCTTTAACTGGTGATTTTAATTGTTCACTAATTTACAACTCCTTGTGACCAGGATAAACTTGAGATTAGTAACTGTTTCAAGAAGAAGATATGAAACCACAAAGTTATAAACGTAAAGCGTAAAGATTGGGGCCTCAGCCTTACAATTTATGCAATAATGGTTCGAAACACCATTTGTGAAAAGTTTAGTAGTCACTTGCCTAATGAAGATTATACACATGGATTTAATGTGAGCAACTGAACAGATATTTTTCCAAGTCCTATTTAAAATCAATTCTCTTTGTTTTCGTAAGCAATTGTTATCCTCAATTTCTTGACTACTACCAGGTCATTCATTTGAAAATAATTTACAGTAATCTAATTCACTTAAAAAGCCTAAAATTATAATATAACAATTTTAGAAGACTTTTTTGACAAAAATAACTATGAACAGCCATTCCCTGGGTAAGTAATTGGCTAAAACTAGTTAAATCTAGTTTGATTCCCTAAATATGATCCACTAAAATGAGAATTAGGCCAGCTGACTGAGTTAGATTAAGTCTAATCCATACTTCTCGTCCATTTTGCAGTAAACTATTTCCTATGTTTAAAATGCCCCTTTCCCCATTCCTACATATCCAAATTCCTACTTCTGTGCTGTAGGGCTTGGTTTAACTATATATGCTTTAAATGAAACCTTTTCTCACCTGCACAATTGGAGATAATTTCAGTTTCCTCTGGATTCCCACAGGGCTACAACACGCTGTGGCACTTAAGAAATAACTTGAAACCCCTAATTATTTTTTGCTTTTCTTCCTCAAAGGACTCATGAGGCAGAAGACATGCGTGAGTCATTTTTCCCCCTACAGAAACAACCAAGAGAACTCCCACATTACAGAAGCTCCAAAATAAAGAATTCTGAATGACTAAAAAATACCTGTTCCTTTTTGCACGTTCTGCAGTACGCCACGGCAAGAAACCAGACACGCCAGGCGGTAGAGGTATAGGAGCATAGTGTTCTTTACCAAGGGAATGTTTTCTTCCATTACTTACAGGTTTCTTTGCAGCAAATCCTATGTTTGAGAAAGTGTTAAAAAGAAAGAATAAAGATGCACTTAAAGTCTACAGATTATCATATGTACATACTCTTAAAAGAATACAAAATGGGCACCTGACGATAATACCAAGGCCATTAAAAACAGGATCAATTTATAAAAATGTTTTAAAATGGGCCAACAATGTTTTAAAAATCTAAGTTCTCTAGAGTAACAAGTTATTATTTTAACTATAGGTTGAATATATGAGACACATAGAGCACACAAAAGTAAATAAAAGATATATCTCAAATTATGAAAGATTAAACATGATACATTTCATTATGCATCATGCAGAAATATTCACTTTATTGAATCTCAGAACATCTCTGGCATTTCGGAATCTCAAGTATAGATAAATATAGATACACCCATGACCCTTGCCAAACAGAACCTTCTGAATTAGACAATTAGACTAAAATTTTAATTTTAGATTAATTTTACCATGTAAAAACTATCAAAGTTGTAAGACTGAAGGTTGCTGAGTGATAGGTGAGTCAATATTACCCTCCTGTAAGTCTGCTGACCTTCAGTGCTCATTTAGTTTTATAGAAAACACAAAAGAAAAAAATAATAAAATCCAGTGGCTAAAAAATGAAATGTAGAGACTTATCCTGTATTTCAATATTAAAGAGTCAAGTATCTTTATAGAAAATATTTGGTAGCAAAACCTACACCTACATAATAATACTTTATTCAGAACAAATCATATATTAAAATTCACATTGAAATATTTGTCTCTAATATCACTGAGGAAAACTATGGCTTTATTAAAATGGTTATATTTATCCTTCTAACCTATTTTACTATACAAAATCTTACTTTAGCAGTATTAGGATGGCATTTAAAATAAAGTGCACGTGTTAATACAGCACAAAAATTTCATGTAGTGTAACTTATTGATAATCATCACATGGTCCTGTGCAATTTCTCTGGACAAATGCCTCTTAAAATATATAGGAGCTCTGTTCATCTTGTGTTATTTCATTTCTGTTTTTCAACTTAATTACACTCAAAGGATGTTCCTGTGTATTATTTGTGTGCATATACCTTCTCCCTCACTTTCAGAAACTAATGCAAATATATTTTTAATTAAAACTCAAAGAATTTATACTTATTTCATTGGGAGACAAAAAAAATTCTAATAAAAGTTCCTATCTTCTTTCTGCATACATAATTGCAATATGAATGTGACACAATTTACATAAATTATTTAACCCTTATGTTCACTGAAATCTAACTACACAGCCAGACACGGTTTAGCTTACCTCTATGTCTCCAAATAACTGAGGCAAATCCAAAAAAAAAAAAGCCCAAGAAATAAAATTATTCTTAAAATAGCCCAGTGAGCTTGTAAACTTCAGTCACATTTCTGTTTTCTTTAATCATGCTAAGTATGAAAAAAGTTTTGGTTTTTATTCTCATTCCATGATATCCTGTTATATACCACTAGCTACCAAAATTACATAATTTCTAAGATGTCTTATATATTATGTTATATTATTAAGTTTTATAGCTCAATCAATTTTAAGTGTACAGGTCAGTGATACTAAGTCAAACAATAACAGTTTCAGGTAGCATCCAAATAAAACATTATTTGCTGTTAACTGTTTGGTGATCTTAATGTATTTGGTATATAACTAAAGTTACCACAAACCTGTTTCTGGGAAATTGGCAGATTATGAACTTGAAAAATTTATTTTGTTTCCTCTATATTAATTCTTATGGTTTTATTGTTTCAAAATTCAAAGTTACTTACAACAAAAGGTCAGTTTCACCATAGATTTGGCTTAATTTATTATACTCTGTCATTGATTCTTATCATATATAAAAAGCTATTTGTGACTAAAGATAATATGTTATAGAAAATAAAAGTTAAGGACTCTTTAGAAACAATACAAAAGTATCAGGACTAGATTATACCAAATTTACATATTCAGAGAATGTAACATTTATGTCACCAGTTGTTAAAGAGTTTTATAACAAAGAATTTTCATTATACTTGGTCATGAAACCATAGACTTAATTTTAACATTCTAGACTATTACTTGGAAGATTAATATACATTATAGCAAACATTAGAAAATGCTTTTCTAAAATGTTCCATCTCAGGTCAATAAACTTGTCTGCAGTATTGTTTTATAAGCATTATGTATACTTTAAGATTTTTTTCATCATTGAAAGGTGTTACCTGATTAAATAACTTTGGATAAGAAATTGCAAGGGAGGAGGATGGATCAAGGGGAAAAAAATGGAACTAGGAAAAAATTTTGTTTCCTATAGCATGAAATGATAATTCTTCATTAAAAAAAAAAAAAACACTTGGCCAGCTGCAGTGGCTCACGCCTGTAATCTCAGCATTTTAGGAAGCTGAGGTAGGAGGATTGCTTAAGCCCAGGAGTTTGAGGTTTCAGTGAGCTATGATGATGTCACTGCACTCCAGCCTGGGCAACAGAGTGAGACCCTGTCTCAAAAAAAAAAAAAAAAAAGAAGAAACCATTCAAAAGCACTACTAAAACTGTCATCAAAGTGCATCCCAAATTTCAACTGCAAAGTATCAAAAGTAATCATCAACCAGGAAACATGTTCAAAATGATGAATATTTTATGAAAAACAAACAATATAGTTAATTAAAAAAAAATGGAAGTACTGGCATCCCTTTCCTAATGATTCATTAATATTTCTACATTTCATAAATTCTCATAATCACTATCAAAACAATTTTAGTCCTCATAATATGCACGTAGTCAATATTGGTTGCTATTGTTGATACTACAAAATGAGAAGAGATTTTAATTTTAGCACACCGGAACACATAAAAAGCCAAGACAGAAAGGGTTACCAATTCTAATAGTAGCTTTTCCTTTTCGACCACTTCCTAGAATTATAGTTTTCTTTTTCTGTCTAGCAGTTTTCAGTGGTTCCTTCACTGATGGAGAAGTTATCCATTGGTACTAGAAGAGAGATAGTAAATATTCCATTTCAGTTATAGGTAATTCATGGGAGTTTGGTTTTAACTAGAAATTATTAACATATCCTGAGTTAATAACAGGTTTGCAATCAGCAGCTCTGGGACCACAAATTAAAAAATCATACAATATTTTCAAAAACAGAAAAGTCATTTTATCTGACTGAAAACTTTAATTTAAGATGGCAGAAAAGTGCCTTAATTTTACTTTACTAAAAACAGAAGAGGAGTCAGGCACAGTGGCATGTGCTTGTAATCCCCGCTACTCAGGAGGCTGAGGTAGGAAAATTGCTTGAGCCTAGGAGTTCAAGGCTAGCCTGGGCAATACAGTGAGACCCCCATTTCTTTAAAAAACAAAACCAAACAAAAACAGAAGAAAAACCAGCAATTAAAAAAATTCTTTCTAGAGGAATAAAACATGTTATACCTCTGACTTAGCACTCCTTCCATTCTGGAGAACTTTTTTGATAACTGCTTTCATCATAGAATGATCTAAAGTAAAATGAAAATTCAAATTATAGCAATTGTTTCCCAATGAGTGGTTATTTCCATTTAAAACAAAAAGCCAAGTAATTATTGCTTTTCCCATAAAATTAAATATGAAACATATAATTATATACCTATTTCCCTCTTTGAGTATTCTAACTTCTTCCTCAAAAACGTAAGATCAAAGTATGCCACTTCGCATATTGCCCCCAGTGGCTACCACTTTGGCAGCAGCAAAGACCAAATTTAAACACTTTGGAACTAAAGGGACTTTGGGAGAAAATCAATAGCCTGGACACTGTTCAGACACCTGGCTACCGAAAAAGCACCTAATGTAGCCAAATTAAAGTCATGATACATGCTCAAAGCTGTTCTTTTCCACAGCCTCCTTTTCTCAGTAAATGGTGCTACCCAGTTGTACTACCCTAAATAATCATTTAGGACTTAAAAAATTATTATTTCCTTTATGCTCCACATCAAATCTGTCTGCACATCTTGTTAGCTATACCTTGCTTCAACCAGTTTTCACTGCCTCCAGCCTTCTACTCTAAGATAAGCCATAACCACCTCCCACTTGGACCATTTCATGAAGGTCTCATAACTGGTCCCCTTATTTTTCCTTTTATCTGTTTCCCCGCTCCCCAAGTCTATTCTCTACACCAGAGTCATCTGACTGAAACACTACTCGGATCATGCCTTTTTTTACTTCAAAACCCTCCCGTTGCTTTCAGCTCATTTAGATCAGGCCACTCGCTAGCTATCTGACCTCACAGCAGACCATGCTCCCCCTCATTCAGTGCTCTTGCTTTTCCTTAAATAATCCACCCACCCTGCCACCTCTTCTATGTACTCATTGCCTCCTCGTCCTAGAATGTACTTTCTCTGGATCTTCCAGGGCTTGTTCCTCTCTTAAGTCTCTACTCAAATGTCACTTCTCCAGTGAAGCTGTCCCCAAACAAACCTATCTAATATAGTCCCACCTGCCCCCATGTGTCTTCTTACCTTAAGGTATTTTTGCACTTCCTACTACCTAAATTACATTACTTATCTGTTTACTTGTTTTTATCAGCACTCCCCCACTGGAATGTAAGATTCATGAGGGCAAGACTTTGCCTAGCTAGTTCACTGCTACATGCTTGGTGCCTAAACCTGTGTCTGGCACACAGAAGTATTCAAAAATTACTTGTCAAGTATGAATGAAATAGTCTTTCCAAGAATTCACAGGTACTACAAGAAGAAAATAATGCTCTTAGTGGAAGCAGATCTATTTTCTAGATTCACCTCTATACAGAGTAGCAGCCAAAAGCAAGTTACAAGTATAATTCATTTTAATCAGTAAATTTCCTGCTAAGAACATAAGGAAGTGCAAGATTAGAAAAGTGTAAGATTACGAAAGTAAACACATTAAGTTTTAAAAATTGTCAATACAGGAACAAATTCTTTTTTTCTTGCTATTTGTTAGTCAAGAAAAAAAAACTGTGGTGACATACCAATGAGTGGATTTTTTCTTATATCCAGAACAACGAGAGTTCTGTTGGTTTCAAGGGCCTCCAGTAAAGCCTTTGCTCCTTCATTGGTGAGGCCGCACTGTTGCAGGTCAAGTGCTTGTGATAAAAGACAAAGGGTCACTTGCCAACTCTATACAGATTTAACACACAGACAACTTTCACTTATTCATGCCTGGAAAATTCCTGCCCAATACTAGCCATGGCAGGTTTTTAATCTTGGGAATTGAAAAAGTAAAAATAGAAAAACATATAGAAAAGCATATGTACACACATAATCCAAAATCCAAAAAAAAAGCCCTGTTTTTGGATGTGCCATGATTATCCTCCCCCTTTAGTACCAATAATTTTTTAAATTTCACTTCAGAATACTAAGGGGGTACAAACACTTTGCTTACATATATCACCTTTGCACTGCCTGAGTCAGAGTTACAAGTGTGCCCATCCCCCAAAAAGTGCACACCACACCCATTAGGTATGAATTAGTACCATTAAATTATCCAACATATTTTACTATTACAGAGTTTAAGAGTAACTCTGCATGATTTGTGAGAGAAAAACATCACAGAATGAATATCAGTTCATAATGAGCAAGAATGCTAGTGGCAGGATAAACCTCATAGGCAAAAACTAGGTGGAACTCAGAAACTACACTGTATTCATGATCAAAATCTTGAACTTCAAATGACTAAAAACTTACGTTAAAAAGGGAAAAGAAAATAGAAAAAAATGTAAGAACTGGGCCAGGTGTGGTGGATCATGCCTGTAATCCTAGCCAGGCAGGAGGATCGCTCAAGGTCAAGAGTTCGAGACCAGCCTGAGCAAGAGTGAGACCCCTGTCTCTACTAAAAAAATAGAAAGAAATTATCTGGACAACTAAAAATATATATAGAAAAAATTAGCCAGGCATGGTGGTGTATGCCTGTAGTCCCAGCTACTCGGGAGGCTGAGGCCGAAGGATTGCTTAAGCCCAAGAGTTTGAGGTTGTTGTGAGCTAGGCTGACGCCACGGCACTCTAGCCTGGGCAACAGAGCAAGACTCTGTCTCAAAAAAAAAAAAAAAAATGTAAGAACAGTTAGTTTCAGAATAAAAATGACAAAGAAAGAATTCTAAGGGGATACAAATAATGAATCCAAAGAATGTGTGAATAGAGATTATATGCTAAAAGCCTACCAGGAAAAAATGATGGTCACGAAGAACTTTCTCTCAGTAAAAGGTCAAAGAACTGAACAAATGCTTATGAATAACAGCCGCACTGAGGCTGAATGATCTACTCATTTAAACCCAAAGGGATCATCACAAAAGCACAGGTATAAAAAAGATTACATCAGAGGAGAATATCGTCTGAGCCTTTCTTTTAAAGCATCATGTATACTATTACATTAAAATAACTACTGAAGTCTTTCAAAACCCCATGTTATGGATTATGAGTTTGTGTCCCCCCAATATTAATGTTGAAACCCTAACCCCAAATGGGATGGTATTAGGAAGTGGGGCCTTTGGGAGGTAATCAGGTTTAGATGAGGCCTTGAGAGTGGAGCCCCCACAATGGGATTAGTGCCCTTACTAGAAGAAAAAGATTAGAGCACTCTCTCCACCATTTGAGGATACAGGAAGTCAACTATCTACAAGCCAGAACACCCTCACCAGACATTGGATTTAGTGGTGCCTCGATCTTAGTTGGCCAACTTCCAGAACCATGAGAAATACATGTCTTCTGTTTACACCACTCAGTCTATGGCATTCTGTCTTAGAAGACTAAACTGACTAGGATTTCTACAACACACAGAAATAATAAGTCAGATATATAAATCCTTACAAACTCTTACCACAGAAGAATGAGCATAGGATGTAATTATTCAACTAGCCAAATTAATAAAAACAGCCAGTAAATCTCACTAGTACTTAATACAAATTAAAACAATGAAATATAATTGTTCTCTATCAGATTAGGCCAAGATCATATAACAAAAGCCTTTAAAATATGCATATTCTGTTAACACAGTAACTTTTCTTCTAAGGATTTGCCAAAAGGAAATAATTAGAGATATGGGCAAGGATGTGTATCGAAGTACTGTTTGTAACAGCGAAAAATATATCTAACAAGAATGAACAGGCTAAGTGTACTATGGTATGGTAACATAATGGAACTCTTAACAGTCACTAAAAATGATGTGATAGATATAAATTTATTGATTTGTTAAGATGTTCATGCTATATTGAGTAAAAAAAGCTATGAAACTTAGAGAACAATGCCACCTGCATTAAAAGAAGCAGGGCCGGGGGGAGGGGGTGTTTCTCATTTCTGTAAAGTTTTAAGTTTTAAAACGGACACAATCCAGTGTTTATAAAAGTGCAGGCCTCACATACACCGTTAGCGTGGACTACAAAATGACCAGAATTTTGCGAAGGCAATTTAGCAACATGTATCAAAAGTCTTTACAGGTAATATTGGTTTCTTGTTACTCTTTATTTTCTATAAAGAATATATGTAACTTTTACAAAAGCTAAAAGCAAAATAAAAGTTACTAGAAAAAAAAAGCTTTTAAAAAATCTTACGACATTGTGGCAAGAACTAAGCATAGTTAATAGAAAAAAATTCAGTATTTTCCATTTTAGAAGTTCATTGAACTTACCTCTCAGCCATAAATCCTCACTGAGAGAGTCTGCAAAAGCACTTGCACCTACGTCACCAATGAGCATGTTGCAATTCAATGTGATACGCCTTAAGCCAGCCATACAGTCAAGATCAGGTCTCCTATAGCGAAGACTCTCAGCCCAGGTTTCTTCATGCCTTCTCATGGTCTGATACTTCAAAGATTTAATAAGATGAAATTAAAACACTTCAGTAACGCAACAGAAACACTAAAAGGAACTAAGTATGGCTGATTACATCAGAGCTTTATACATACACATCAAGTATACACGACAGGAAAGTCAACCTGGGAGACTGATTAGACAGTAGATTCTGGTTTAGGAGTCTAGTGACCCAGATTCTACTCTGCCGCTGATTAGTTATGTGACTCCAACCACTGATGACCTGCTGATTATTTATGTAAACCAACAATTTAATTTAACTTCTAAGAATTTTATTTTCCTTATCTGCCAAATCAAGGAATTGGTTCTAATCCTATCATTGCTGACCCTCGAAATTCCATCATGCCAAACACTTGATTGGGCATCCTACAAGCAGGCATTGTTTTAACATGTGTCTTATTTATCAATAAATTATACACATGAAATTCTGTACACATATTTTATGTATATTATAAACTATACAGAAACAGATATTTTTTAAATGATACAAAAAATAAATACAGAGGTTCTAATATTTTCTTCTCCTAACCCAAGGGTTCTCACTTACTTCTCTGGGTATGCACACCAACTTTAGAGGCCTAGAATATGCAAAGCCAGGTTGATAGGCCTTAGGAAATTGGTGGCTTAAATTTTAACCACAAGTATTACCTTAAAAACACATAATCAGTTTCTCTGTTCATAAAGTGAATTTTGGTAACAGGGAACACTGACTTTCAAAGGAAAAAAATCTTATTACATTCTTAAACAACAAAAGACTCAAAGCTCCTATGATACTCTCAAAGGAAAATTGTTAGTGTCATTTTTCTATTAATAATAACTATATAAAAGCAGCAAGAGGAAATCACAGGAAACACACAGTGCTTATTATATGCCAGGCACTATTTTATACACATTAGTTTATTTAATCCTCAGAATGATTGACACAGGTTTTCTTATTATACATATTTTACAGATGAGGAAACTGAAGCACAGAGAGGTTAAGTAATTTGCCCATGGTCACAAGGTATTAAATGGGAGAGCTGGGATTTTAACCAAGGCTGTCTGGCTTCAGAATCCACACTCTTGACCATTATCTATCCCAGAGGTCAGTGGGTTTGCTCTGTAAAGGCCCAAAAGTAAGCATTTTCAGCTTTGTGAGTCACACAGTTTCTTTTGCTACCACTAAACTCTCCTGGAGTAGGGTGAAAGTAGCCACAGTTACTATGAAAACAAATGGGCAAAGGTATGTTCCAAAAATTTTATTTACAAAAATAGGCAATGGGCTGGATTTGGTCCACAGGCCATAGCCTGCCTATCCCTGATCTATACCATCAAACTACTAAAAAGGCTTCAGATCAAATTATTAAGTAATTTTAGATCTAAATATAGTAGTTTTAACCAATATAAAGTTGTTAAGTCACCCTTAAAATTATTGTTTTAAAACCTGTATTTACAAAATGTTAATGTAGTGATTTTTATTAGTTTATAAACTACAATAGTTAACAAATATTTGAGTCATTTAAGGGCTGTAACAGCATAAACTTTCAGTGCCACAATAAACATTTTCAATAACTAAAAGTATGTAAAAGTATTGCTCATAATGTATTATATTTTAAATCTCTTATTTCTAGGATTAAGTACATTAACTTTACTAAATGGTAGAACCTCAAACTGAAAAACTGGTCATGTTCATTCAACAAAACTAAAACTGTAACCACCATATGCATCAAAAGATTAAATAATTGCCATCTTGTATCAAAATATTCATGTGCCTCAATCATATAATATGTTTTCATGAAATTTTGAACATAAAGTCACCTTTAAGATCTTGGCCATGTGATCTGCTCCCTGCCATGTCAGATTACACCCCGTGAAGTTGACTGTCTGAAGAGTGATAGAGCTCTTTATACCTTGACAAATAACTAAAAGGAAAAAAAGACCGCATACACAATAAGATGAAGAGCCTATACGATCTTGATTTATTTGCTTTTCTTGTGTCTATTCTAGTTTATAGTTGTATTCTTAAAATCACCATCTACAATCTTCCCAAGCAACTGATGGACTGGGACATCCTAAAATATGTCAGTTATAAAGTGTTGTTCTAGTTTACACAATAGTTTAACTCTGTTTAGATGCTAAAATTGAGTAACCTGAATATTGTAAACTTATTCCCAACCACACAGTAAAGTATTATATATCTTTTGAGATATTTGAAATAAAAATAAAAATCTAAAAAGCCTAAGTCTCTTCCTATTTTCATTTCCAACATCAGAACTCCATCTTGATTATCAATTAACAATACAGTGTCAACTATAAACCCAGAATTTTATTAGGTGCCGTACTAGAGTACCTAATCTACTAGAACAACAGAACATAGAGGACCTCAAACTCTGTTCCCTCAAATTGAAATGAAGACTTCCTTACCCCTCCAGACCATTATTCCACACAACAAACACTCATTAATTCTTCAGGACCCCAATCAACAATCACCTTTTGTGATTACTTCCATGACCCCCCGACCCCATTGAGTTTTCCAGCCTTTTATATGCTCCCACAGCACTTCGTAAATATTTTCTATTTTGGCACATACCACAATGCATTAAAATTGACTGTACATGGACGCTTTAACTATCTAAAATAACGATGATTTTTCTCTTTACATTTTGCTTCTGTCCTTCCCATAAATATTTCTTAAAGAAAAACTTTAAAAGATGAACAAATGCAAAAAACAGAGAATACCAAACAGTATATATTTGTGTGGTCTGTGGCTATTCAGCATGACAAGCTTTCATGGCAGACATGAGACTGGACCAAGGTTTGTACAGGCACAGGAGGCAGTCCAGATAGAAGCAGCAGTAAGAAAAAGGTACAGACAGGAATTAACATGGCATGTAGAGAACCAGTCTGACGGGAAGAGAGTTAATTAAGATTTAAACTCACTTTCTAAACCTCCATCTCCAATTGGACAATTTGCAAGAGACAGGTGCACCAAAGAAGCAGATTTATTCAATCCCTTGAATGAGGGGAAAAAGTTAAAAATTTATTGAGTTTTTTTCCTCCAAAAGCAACTATCAAATGTTTGCAGGCCATGTTGGAGAAAGCTTACCTTTGTTAAAACAGTTAAATCTCTCTCTCTCAGAACTAGTCCATTTAGCTCCAGGTTCTTTAGCACACTTGATATACTTAAACAGCCTTTAAGAGCTTTACATAACTGGAAGGTCACATCTTTCAATCTTATTGCAGGAACACGACTTCTGCAAACTTTATTTATGTCAGAACCTAAAGCAAAGTTATAGTAAAATTAGTGACTTCAATCATAGAATTTATCATTAAAAAGCTTCTGCTCTGTGCTAAGACACAGTCCTCTTAAGGAGGGAGACATGTAAACTCAAGCCCCATGAGATATGCACAAACTATATAGAGAGAGGTTCTTCTGGAAGCAAAGAAGTTGCACCTAAGGGATGGCTTCAAGATACCCTGAAGTTGAATCTAGAAAGATAAGAATGACTACATGGGGCAGAGTGGGTGATGCATTAACCATAGAGGGAGTAGCATGTACAAAGGTATCCAAGCCTGACACCTGCAGGGCACTGTAAATACTGCAGGTGGAGATGACTAAAGCCCAGAGGAGAAGCAGGAAAAGAGTCAGAAATTAAAATAGGGAGGCTGAAGCAAGCCTGGGAGAGAGCTGGCTTCTATTTCACAGGTTACGAGGACCAGGGCTACCACTGACACACTAAGGGTGCCCATAGCAGTTTAGAAAAATGTGCCTCACTGCTGCAGGGCCAAATAAACGGAATGATCAGAAAACGCACCCCTTCCTCAGGGCCAACTAACCCATGAGGCTTGGCAGCACACAGCTCAGATATCAGTGGCTCTGTGCAGAGCACAAGTTGTGCAACCAACACACACTGGTCCCAGGTGGGCATGTCACTTTATGCGTATCTCTTCATTTCAGAAAAATCACTTGAACCAAAGTAGGCAAATGAACTGAGAAAAACCAAGTTCAGGGGCAGCAAAACCAACTAGGAGCTTCTGCAACGGTCCAGGCAAAACAATATCTAGGAGGTTAAAATCTACAACCTAGACCTACTGGATGCAGGAGATAAAGAAGGTTCAGTAAGGAGTATCTGAAGAGAAATGGTCTGTAATACATTTTTCTTACATTCAGTGCACAATACAAGGCAAGATCAAGTATCCTATCCTTGACTCCAAGGTTCCTACCATCTTTATTTTGGTTTTTGTTTGGACTTTGGTTTAGTAAAGTCCCTTCAGAGGTACAGAACAGCTCCTACACCTGAATAGATGCAGAGAATAATCTGACTTCTCTTCAGCAGGGAATGTGCTGAACTGTCCTCACAGAAGAGATAATAGATGGTGCTAACCCCAGAGCCTAGAAAAGGTCCAGGCACATGACAAGGGGTCAGGTTTTTCTTTTTTCTTCCTTAAATAAATCAACAATTATTTCCTTTCCTAAATCTTCACACCCTCTCTCTCAGCTGGCTACTTTCCCTTAGCTTATAAATATATTGAAGACTATCCATTTAAAAAACATCTTTAAGACTTAATAATTTTCTGGATCTTCTTTGTGGGCAACCTAGGTCCCCTCCATGCCTTGAAACACCTGTCCCCCCATAAAGCCCAAATCTGTGTATCTTGGGCCCAGACCCGCCTAGCAGACACATTTGGATGCCCCACAGGCACCTCTTAAAACATTAAAGATGAACAAAGACCCTCTTCCCACCCCCAATCCTTTCCAGCTCTGCTGTGTCTCATGGAAAGATGCTGCTGTAAACTGTCTCTCAAATTTGCTGCCTTCCCTCATCTAACTGGGAGAACAGACGGGGTCACCAGGCCCCATCCCTTCTCTTAGATGTCTGAAATCCACCCTTTCTTTTCCATATCTTATTTTGGGGCATTAGATTACAACTATTCATCCTCCTTCCCATTCTAATTTGCCCTACATACGGAGGTCAGAGTGAGCTCCTGCAGAAAGTCCATCTCATCATCCTTCAGTGGTTCCCAACCTTCAGGATAAACTCCAAACTCCTTTACAAAATAAACAAGGACCTTTCCTATTTGGCCCCCATCAAGTTTCCAGCCTCAACTCTCTCTGCTCTTTCTCAAACCCTAAATTCCAGTCCTGAGCCTCAGCTTGCCATACTCTCTCCTATTTCCAAGACTTTTGCACAAACTGCTCCCTCCTATTACCTGGCTAGCTTCTACAGGGAGGTGTCTCTCTTATGTCCAAAATGCTATGCTAAGTGCTAGAAGGAATAACATCACTCTGTCATATGTCATGATTTACCTAATACGTTTTCCGAATAATCAGAGGGTTTCGATCCCTAATTATACCACCTTACATCCGTAAATGGCTTATATTTGTGAAGCACTCTAAAAATTCTTAGAGACACATTTAAAAAATGAAGACAAAGGCTAGGATGTATTAATTTCCTAATTGCTTAATTCTCTATTAGACAAAAAAGTTATTCAATAAAATAGGTAACATCTGTGGAAAGCTTAATGATGTCCCAAACTGTGCTAAGGGCACCACAAGCATCTGTTACTCGGAGAATCCTTGCAGTCACTGTGTAACGTGGTCCTGTTAGGAAGCCCATGTTACGGCTGAGAACACTAAGGCCCAGCGACCTTGAGTGACTCACCCAGGGTCCCCCAGCTGGTAAGTGTCTGAAGCCGCACACCCCGTCTACCCCACACACGCCCCGGCACCGGCCACCAGTTAGGGCCCCGGGTCCACCTTGGACCTGTCTAAAAAGCCACTTGGTCGCACCGACCGAGAGGCACTAGTAGCGGGAACCACAGACCTGTTTCCCCAAGCCACGGCTGGAAGAAGCTCTTGATGGAGATCAAGGGCAGGTCTTTATTAATCTTGAGGGTGCTGAGGAGGGGCGCCCAGTCCACGACGCGGAGGCGGTCGGCGTTGAAGTCCAGCACGCCCTCCCGGAGGCAGGCGCGCACGGCGGGGAGCGGCACCGAGTCCTGCAGCGCGCACAGGTACTCATAGTGCGAGAAGAAGTCCGCCGCGCTGTCGCGGCGCAGCTTCACCGAGTCGATCATGGCCAGAGGGCGCCCTCGCGGGATGCCCGCAGCGGAGACGTAGCCCGCACCTACCGAGGAGCCTCGGGTCGCCGCCCGGCCGCTCCGGCACCCACGGCCAGGCGGCGGCGGCGGCGGCGGCCCCACACGGTGTGCAGGAGCGGCGGCTCGGCCCCCAGGCTAGGCCGGCCCCTCAACGTCCAGTTCCCGCGCTGCCTCCCGCCCCGCGGCCCCGGCCGTTGGCGCCCGCCTCATAGTTCTCCGCGGGCGGGGCTGCGGTTCAAGTCGCTGGGCGGGAGCCGGCGAGGGCGGTGCGCGAAGACGTCAGCACGCTCGCTGTGCGCCGGCACGTAGGCCCCGCCTCTGGGGGCGGGGCGTGAGGGGCGGGACTGCGGGCTGGGGTCCAAGATGGTGGTAAGACGGACTTTAGGGTTTGTCAAAGGGTTTACCGATCGATCCGAATAAAAGTGAGATGTGGATGTGACAACGCATTTTTTAAAAAATAGTCTAAATTTCTAAGGAACGTGTTTGTGCTTGTGGTGCCCAGGACAGAGACTACACTCAATAAGGGATGTATGAACGACTGAGTGAACTTCCTCTGTCCATTAAATCTTTTATGTCGGTGTTAATTTCTACAGATAACTCTTAATTTCTGTAGTTTCTACATACCTCACACAGTTGTTGGCAAATTGTAGAGTGTTCTATAAATGTAGGACTTTATTGTGTTGGCTGTGCATCACTTTGTATTGTACTGATGATGATGTTTGCTAACTCCCTGATAACGAGTACTTTGTGTCCTAGGCCTTATTTTAAGCACTGTGAGTATGAAATCATTTCATTTTCTTAACATCTCCTCAAGGAATATACTATTGTATTCCACTTTACTAAAGGAGAAACTGAGGAACAGAGAAGTTAAGTAACATACAGCTAAGTGGAAGAACTCAGAATTGGCCTCAGAACCTGTATTTGTATCCAGTGTCTAGAACAATGATAATCCTCTGGTCAAGCCTTAGACATTGTCTTTACAGCATTCCTCTTCCACCCACTGCATTCTGGAATCCTCAACTTACTACCAACACACACGTGCACACTACCTCCACTAAAATTCCCCAGTTATGGTCAACAATGACTTTTATGTGCAAGGTGCTCAAATTATAACATAATAAGCACTTGTACATCCACAAACCAGCTTAAGAAATGAAATCATACCATTTCTGTTGAGAAGCCCTATGTAACCACCCTCCCAATCACAACTGACCTTGAGATAAACTGCTCTTCTGAACTTGGTATTCATCATTGCAATGTATGTCTTTATATTTCTGCTACATATGTAAGTAAACAGCACATAACATTCTATTGTGCTTTCTTCTGCTACTTTAATTTGTTACCTTTGCTAGGTTTATCCATGTTGACATGCAGCGCTCTAGTTCATTTGTTTTCCCTGTTGTGTAGGATTTCCATGTAGGAACATGCAACAATTTGTCTATTTTTCTGTTAATGAAAATTTAAATTGTTTCTAATTTTCACTATGATTTCTTTTTTGCTATATTCATTGTTTTAACCTCCAGCATCATTTAATGTAGTTGTCCATTACCTTCTTAAAGTTCCTTCCTCTCTGCTTTCCATAAAGCCACCTGATTTTTTTTTTTTTTAAACTCTTTAATTCCTTCTCAATCTCACTGTTGGCTTCTTTTGCTGATCTATTCCAAATGCTACCTTCTTCAGGTTTCCATCCCCAGCTTCCACCCTTTCAGACACTTATAATGTCTCTGGGTGATCTTATCTCCTGATCAGGCTTAACTTCCCCCTCCAGGCAGATGACTCCTAATAAAGATAATTTTCTCCATACATCAAATTGGCTCCTTGGAAAGCCAAATATTTCTTGTTGCCCTCAGGATCAGATCTGTATTCCTTATCTTGAAATATAGGCTACATCATAATTTGACTACCTCTCTTGTCTTATTTTTTGCTCCATTCCTCCTTGTATGTCTTCTCTAGGCACATGCAACTGCTTGAAGTTCCTGATGTTCTGTTGTTCCTTCCTGGGCTTTTACACATGCTTTGGAGTACCTTTACTTAATGGGCCAACTTCAATTTTTTCCCCAGCCTTGGTTGGAGGGCACCTTCCTGGGGAAGCCTTTTTCCCCTAATCCTCATCTCTCCTCCCCTATTTGTTTAGTGCCTCACTGCTCTTACTCCCCAACATCCCTGTAGCATAACACTTAGTGCATCCAATTATAAGCATCTTTTTAGATGGTTTTCCTTCCATAATCTGTAAGCCCGTTGAAGGCAAGGACTATGTCTCATTCATATATATTTCCTATACCTAGCACCGTGTTGGTACAGAGGAAGTGCTGAATAATGACTACTGGAACATTCTATTCTCCCTACAAGAGATCACCAGCACCTTGTGGCCGCTGCCTACAAATGCAGCTCAGGGAACACTTCAAATTAAGTAATCATTTAACAAATTAACTTCACATTTATTATTCCTGAGCTTACTTATTTTCAGTGTGGCAAGATTTCTTTCAAGGCTTCCTTGATAATCTCTTCTCTACTTTAGTTAAATTATGGCTTAATAATGGCTTCAGTTCTCCTTTCAGCATCTGGTGGGTTCACCAACTTGCTTCCATGAACACTGTGAATGCAAATTGCCTCTCTGTAATACCTCTGGGATCCTCTGACAAACCAGGCTCACCCCTGGCCAAGACAAAATGCCTTGGCTTCCTGCAAGTACATGACTTGGGAGGGACATGCTACTGAGCAGTATGAGAGATGGGACTCCTCCTTCAGCCCGTCCGGAGAGTGACTGTTTGACTAGAATACAGTTAAATAGTATCATTTAACCTCTTATTCACTGTACTCTACTCCCAGTCAATCTAGATAACATTATACCCAGACTTCCTAGCCAACTTACCTTCCCACTGAACCACAATGCTAATGCTATCTGCTCATCTCTAACATTCATCCTCTCTGTACTTGCTTCCAGAGCAGTGTGTTTCGTTGGGTCCAGTCACAGAGCAATGCCAACCTGGTCAACAACATAAGCTGTCTTATTTTAACTGAAATTTTCATTCCCTTCCCTATGGCTATTCTCAATGGCTGTTCCAAATCTCCTCCACTCTTCATGTTGCCACTGCACTCTGTTTTATGCCCCTGTCTCTCACCTGAAAAGGACACCTTATTGCACCAGGAAAACAAGATTTGGAACACACACACCCTTGTCTTCTTTCTTGTAATTCTAGTTGCCTTCCAATCCGTGCTCCATAATGCAGCCACCACCACCTCTTCTTCAAATCCTTCAGCAACTTCTCATTGCTCTCAGGATAAAGACAAAACTCACAATGGTCTAAAATAGTGCTCTATTTAGTGTGGAGTCCACAGACTGGCTGCTGGTTGAGAACTTACTGTTCTTATAAGATAAGGAGTTCACTTCAGAATGGAAATCACATCTGCACTAAATGTACTGTTTCGATCAGCAGGCATTTTTTTCTGAACGGACCATTTTTTTTTTTTTTAAGACAGAGTCTTGCTCTGTCGCCCCAGCGAGAGTGCAATGGCATCATCATAGCTCACTGCAAACTCAAACTCCTGGGCTCAGGTGATCTTCCCGCCTCAGCCTCCCAAGTAGCTGGGACTACAGTTGCACAGCACCATGCTTGGCTAACTTTTTCTATTTTTAGTAGACAGGGTCTCGCTGTTGCTCAGGCTGGTCTCAAACTCCTGAGCTCAAGCCATCCTCCCACCTCAGCCTCCCTGAGTGCTGATTGCAGATGTGAGCCACCATGCCCAGCCTGAACAAGACTTTCTTTTTTCTTTTTTTTTTTTT